TGACAATGTGTAAAATAATTTTGAGAACACATGAAATTAGAAAAATTACTCTCTTAGTTTTTACTCAGAAACTCATCACTTTTTTTTATACATGTAAAATTTTTCTCGTTGTGTTTGACATAATTATTCACATATCAATTCAAATTAAATCTTAAATATTTTATAATGGCATTGTCATTATAAAAGTAATATATACTATTTATTATAATATAAACACTTACTATACAAGCATATAATATAAATTAATGCTTCACATACATTAATATTGTAGTCTTTAACATATTATGTATATTTTTTTACTATAATATGTAACCTAAAACATGTAAATAACAATAAGAGACCGCGTCTTACAAAAGTACCTATATAATATAGCTATTTCGCAAAATCAACAACTATGTGTCACCTTAATAAATTAGTGAATTGACCTATTAAAGTATTATCAAAATCTAATTTAAGATTACGATATTTAAATTTTTAAGTTATTTATTAGTGTGTTATGCATTAAAAATTTAATTTATTGCTTGTTTAGAATTGATTGTATATTAATTTATACTTTTACGGAATATATATTATTTATATGGTATACATTTTTCAGATTGAGAAAAATTAAAATACAAGTAAAACGTTGACAAATTTATCATAAATATTAAGCATAATATATTTTACTTTAGCATCATTTCGTTTTATTTATATTAGAATGAATTAATTAAGTTCAATTTTCCTCTGTTTGTTAACCTTCTTCATTTGAACAAATTATTACTCAAGTTTTTTTTTATAAACAGATAGAAGTTATAATACATAGCCCGCATATTTTTTCATATTTTTTTGATTTTATTTTTATTTATTCTTCGTGGAGATAATGGGCGACTGAACATGATTATGTGGGGGCTGTATATCGCGTTTACTAGACGTGCAGCATTATTATATAATAATATGATCTTCGTCTGTACTGTCTACATCAGTATAGTTAGATAAGATGAGATTCGATTGGTCAAAAGACAAAATCGTCCAGAATATAGAATATTTTATTCAGTAGTTCTGAATTAATTACGAGATATCTAAATTGGTTCTTGGATTGTTTCTTTTGGAAGGTTTATTCAAATTAGTTCCCAGTTAGTATTATTATTTAAATATTTTATAGTTTTTTTTAAAGACAATTTATTAACGTTTTAAATTATGGCTGCCAAAATAAAATAAAATAATAGTGTTTAGCTTTTAAAAATGATTTGTTCATAATGTCTATATTAAATRTGTATACGTTAGATAAGTAATTCATATGAATAACAATGTCAATGCTATTTTAATTTTATTATTTCTCATAATACAGTCATATACTTATATTATGTTTTATATCTACTTATTATAAAATGTGTGTATTCAATGTCGTTAATTTTATTACTGGTTTA